GGTAAACGGGATTGTTTTTATAATCTCTCTTTCTGAAAGTTCACTATTGTTGTATAGAAATGCCTCGGATTTCTTGGGGTTAATTTTGTATCCTGCTACATTGCCAAATTCATGTATTAAGTCCAGTAGCTTTTTGATGGAGTCTCTAGGGTTTTGTATGTATAATATCATGTTGTCTGCAAATAAGGACAGTTTTACTTCCTCTTTTCCAATTTGGATGCCTTTTATTTCTTCTTCTTGCCGAATTGCAATGGCTAACACTTCCAGTACTATGTTGAACAGGAGTGGTGAGAGGGGGCATCCCTGTCTTGTTCCTGTTCTTAGGGGAAATGATGTTAGTTTTTGTCCATTGAGTATGATGTTGGCTGTGGGCCTGTCATATATGGCTTTTATTATGTTGAGGTATGATCCTTCTACTCCCACCTTGCTGAGAGCTTTTATCAAAAATGGGTGTTGAATTTTGTCAAATGCTTTTTCTGCATCAATTGATATGACCATGTGGTTTTTTTCTTTCAATTTGTTTATGTGATGTATCACGTTTATTGATTTGCGGATATTGTACCATCCTTGCATCCCTGGGATAAATCCTACTTGGTCATGGTGTATGATCTTTCTGATGTACTGCTGGATCCGATTTGCTAAGATTTTGTTGAGGATTTTGGCATCTATGTTCATGAGGGATATTGGCCTGTAATTCTCTTTCATTGTGTTGTCTTTACCTGGTTTTGGTATTAGGGTGATGCTGGCTTCATAGAATGAGCTTGGAAGTGTTCCTTCCTCTTGAATTTTTTGTAGTAGTCTGAGGAGGATAGGTTTTTAGTTCTTCCTTGAATGTTTGGTAAAACTCCCCTGTGAAGCCGTCTGGTCCTGGGCTTTTGTTTGCTGGAAGCTTTTTGATGACTGCTTCAATTTCTTCCATAGTTATTGGCCTGTTGAGATTTTTAGATTCTTCCTGATTGAGTTTTGGAATGTTGTATTTTTCTAGGAATTTGTCCATTTCCTCCAGGTTGTCTAGTTTGTTGGAGTAGAGCTGTCCATAGTATTTTTTAACAATCATTTGTATTTCTGTGGGGTCTGTTGTTATTTCGCCTCTATCGTTTCTGATTTTGTTTATTTGGGTCTTCTCTCTTTGCTTCTTGGTGAGTCTGGCTAGAGGTTTGTCAATCTTGTTTCTCCTTTCAAAGAACCAGCTCTTGGTTTCATTGATTTTCTGTATTGTTTTTTTGGTCTCTATGTCATTTATTTCTGCTCTAATCTTTATTATCTCCTTCCTTCTGCTCACTCTGGGGTTTTCTTGTTGCTCTCTTTCTAATTCTTTGAGTTGTAGAGTTAGATGATTTACTACCATTTTTTCTTGTTTTTTGAGATAGGCCTGTAGAGCTATAAACTTCCCTCTCAGGACTGCTTTCATTGTGTCCCATAGGTTTTGGATTGTTGTGTTTTCATTGTCATTAGTTTCCAGGATGTTTCGAATTTCTTCTTTGATTTCATTGGTAACCCAATCAATATTTAATAGCATGCTATTCAGCTTCCAGGTGTTTGAGTATTTTGGGTTGTTTTTATTGTAGTTTATTTCTAATATTATGCCATCGTGGTCTGCGAAGACGCTTTTTATGATTTCAATTTTCTTGAATTTGGGGATACTTTGCTTGTGACCCAATATATGGTCTATTTTTGAATATGTCCTATGAGCATTTGAGTAGAATGTATATTCCCTGGCTTTCGGGTGAAGTGTTCTGAAGATGTCTATTAAGTCCATCTGATCTAGTGAGTCATTTAGGACTGCTGTATCTTTGCTGATTATTTGTCTAGAAGACTTATCCAGTGCTGTCAGTGGTGTATTAAAGTCCCCTACAATGATTGTATTGTTGTCGATCTCTCCTTTGATATCTTCCAGGAGTTTTTTTATGAATTTGGGTGCTCCTGCATTGGGTGCATATATGTTTACCAGGGTTATATCTTCTTGTTGTATTGATCCCTTTAGTATTATGAAGTGGCCTTCCTTATCTCTTGTTATGGCCTTCACTTTGAGGTCTATTTTGTCCGATATAAGTATTGCTACCCCAGCTTTCTTTTCCTTTCCATTTGCCTGAAAGATATTTTTCCATCCTTTCACTTTCAGTCTGTGTGAGTCCCTTCTAATGAGGTGGGTTTCTTGTAGACAGCAGATGTATGGGTCATGTTTTTTTATCCATTCAGCCACTCGGTGTCTTTTGTTTGGGGCATTTAGTCCGTTTACGTTTAAAGTTATTATTGAAAGGTACTTGTTTGTAGGCATTTCTGTTTTTGTGTGGCTGTTTTCTTTCTGAGCTTTTTATTTCTTATTTTTATACCAGTCCCTTTAGCATTCCTTGCATTGCTGGCTTGGTGGTGATAAACTCCCTTAGCCTTTTTTTGTCTGTGAAGCTTCTTATTTCCCCTTCAAGTTTGAATGATAGACTTGCTGGATAGAGTATTCTTGGATTTATTCCTTTGCTTGCATCACTTTGTAAATTTCCGTCCATTCTTTTCTGGCCTGATGTGTTTCTGTTGAGAAATCATTTGACAATCTAATGGGAGATCCCTTGTATGTAACTTTCCGTCTCTCTCTTGCAGCCTGTAAGATTCTCTCTTGTCCTGAACATTTGCCATGGTAATTATGATGTGTCTTGGTGTGGGTCTTTTTGGGTTCACCTTGTTTGGGACTCTCTGGGCTTGTGTGACTTTTTTCTTCCCCACCTCAGGGAAGTTTTCTGATATTATTTCTTCTAATAGGTTTTCTAATCCTTGTTCATCCTTCTGTTGTTCTGGTACCCCTATTATTCGTATGTTGTTTCGTTTCATGTTGTCCCAAAGCTCCCTTAGGCTCTCCTCCTGTCTTTTCATTTTTTTCTCCAGTTGCAGTACGTTTTGGGTGTGTTTTGCTTCCTTGTCTTCTAAATCACTAATTCGGTCCTCCGCTTCTCCTAGTCTACTGTTGATACTTTCAATGGAGTTTTTCATTGCAGCTATATCACTCTTCATTTCTTCTTGGGTCTTACTTAAGTTGTTGATTTTTTCATCCGTTTCTTCTAGCTTCTTCCATATGTTATCGATTTTTTCATCTGTTTCTTCTTGCTTCTTGGAGAGGTTGTCGATTTTTTCCTCCATCCGGTTTATGCACTCTAGGACCCTTATTCTGAATTCTTTTTCTGTCATGTTGCATGCCTCTGTATTACTTAGCTGCTTTTCTGGAGAGTCCTCCTTCTCTTTCCTTTGGGGGTTTCTTTGTCTACCCATGTTTGATCTCGCTGACATATCTAGACGTTGAGTCGTTCAGTGGCTGCTCCCTTGGTGGCAGTGACTCCTTGGTCTGTGGTTGCTCTTCGGGCGGTTGCGGTAGCAGCTGCTCTTCAGTTGGCAGTAGCTCCTCTGGTGGGTGCTGTTCACAGTTGTGGTGGCTCTTCTGGCTGGTGGGGCAAGGTTTCACGTACAGCTGCTGTTCCTCAGCAGAGGGTGTGGTGCTCAGGAGGTTGCTGTTGCTTGGATCTGCTGCGTTGATTTAAAGGCACAAAATACAACACAACAAGGCACCACGTACCAGGCACTATACACAAATATATTCACGATATGAATAACCCCAAATAAAGGTGACCACCTGAATTAAGAGAATTAGGGGATAAGGAAGAAGGAAGAGAAAAAGAGAAAAGAGAAAAAAGAAAAGAAAATTAGGGACCAAAAAAAGGAGTGCAAAAATGAAATTGGGAAAGAGGAGGGGGGAAAATAAAAGCGAGAAAAGAAAAGAAAAGAAAAAAAAAAGAGCGAAAAGAGAGAATGAAGTGGAAGAGGGGAAGAGACTTTTTTATATGAGGAGAATACTCCTATAGAACAGCCATTAATCCCAACAAATTCCAGCAACAGCTCCCTGGAGATGAATGCAAACTAGAAACAACCAATAATATAACGATGAAAATAGAATGGAGAACACTAATCCCAAAATAAAATAAAGAGAAAATAAAATGGCACTTTAAAAAAAAATGGTAAAATGGTAGCAGTAATAATACTGGTTAAAAATAAGAAGGTAGTAATTAAAAGGGTAAAATCAGGTGATGGAAAAAAGAAGAAAAAAAAAAAAAGAAAAAAAAAGAAGAAGAAAAGAAAAAAAGAAAAAAATAAAAAAAAAAAAATTGGTTTCTTAGTTAAAAGGTGAAAAAAGAAAAAAAATATATTGCAGTAGTGAAGGTCCTTCGGTTCTTCTATTCTTCAGTGTGGCTCGCCTTAGACCTGCCAGGTATTCAGGAGAGTGTTGAGTTTCCCTGCGATACACTGTTCCTCTGTGTTGTAAACCACAGTCCTTATTTTAAAGCAAGCCGCATTTGTTTCCCAGACTGCCTTATTTTGTGTTTAGCAAAGAGTCACTTTGTGGGTCAGCCTCTGGGTGGCAGTGTTCTGGGGTTGGCCTCTGAGGCTATAGGGCCTCTCTGTCCAGTGGAAGTTCACTGCCCAGAGCTGGCTGCGTAAGAGTTACCAGTGCTGTGTTGTTGCTGGGATTGAAAATCCCTCTATCAAAAAAAATATTTTTATTGATTTCAGAGAGGAAGGAAGAAGGAGAGATAGAAACATCAATGATGAGAGAGAATCATTGATCAACTGCCTCCTGCATGCACACTGGGGATCGAGCCCGCAACCTGAGTATGTGCCCTGACTGGGAATTGAACTGTGACCTCCTGGTTCATAGGTCAATGCTCAACCACTGAGTCAGGCCGGCAGGGCATGAATATCCTTAGTTTTAAGAGTAATAAGTATTTGTTTACTAGATTATTTTCTCACTGACGACTCATATTTAACTATAGAAATTGGAAATTTATTATAGAAAGGAAATACACGTCATGAGATTCCAAAGCATCCCCCAAAATCAAATAGTTCAATAATTAAAAATAATATTTTTTAGTAACCAGAACTCAGACTGAAAACATTTTCAGCTTTCAGTCTTCACCTTGAACATAACAGTTCTAATGAACAGTACTTATCTTGCTTCCTACCTCTTGGTTAAATAGTGTCATCTTCCTGAAGATATATGCAGTATTTCCTTCTTCCGAGTGGCAGGTGACTTGGTAGCATCCATAGGATGAACTTCCTGTGGGCTCTGGCCAATACTGGTGGCACTTCACCTAAAATCAATTGATTAAAAATATATATATTAAAAATTATAATATTTTAATATAACTTTCAAACAGAAAAGTTACAAGAAAAATTTAATAAACTCTCATACATGCTGCACCTAGTTCTGTCAACTATTAATATTTCCTTGTCATTTTTTTCTCTTTGTAATAATCTGTTTGGATATATTTTGAGACTGCAAATATCCTGTATACAATAAGCTTTCACTTAGTGTTTTACCATGTGTGATGAATTCTTGCCTGAGTCAATTATTACTATGAGAATGGCAAAATGCTGCACTAATTTTAATCTTTTTAGATTTAAGTTAACAATCTTCAACTAAAATGCCAAATGCAATCCATTTATTTTCACAATTAGATTTAAAAAACAACAACAGCTTTCTTGATATATAACTCACCCATTTAAACTACACAATTCAGCTTCCAGTCAAGATGGCAGTATAGGTAAATGCTGTGCTCACTTCCTCCCACAACTACATCAAAATTACAACTAAACTACAAAACAACTTCCATTCAGAACTGCCTGAAGCCTAGCTGAACTAAAGTCCTATAACTAAGGATATACAGACGCCATGTCTAGACTGGTAGGAGGGACAGAGATGCAGAATGGGCTAGTGCCATACCCATGTGTAACAGTTAAAAATCAGGAGGGATATGGGGGCTGTGGAGGGACCCCCTGAGGAGCAAGGAGTACCAGCGCCACACCAAGCCCCTGACCAATGTTTCAGTACTAGGAAGTGAAGTCCCCTTAACTTTTCCCTGTGAAAACCAGCAGGGATTGTGGTTGAGTAAGACAGAGAGAGGGGCTGCTGGAATCCCAGGCATTGCCCTTTTCTAAAAATTTAAGTTGACTTAATTTTTTCTATCACCAGGCGTTCCTCTTAAAGGGGCCATATAGAGACTTACTTGGACTCACAGCAGCTTGAAAGGCACCAGGGACACAAAGGGAAAAACTGCATGGTCCGTCGAGGGCTGGAAGGGCAGCTTTCTCCCAGCTAGAAGTGCTGGCAGAGACCCTCGTTTCTTTACTGAGCCTTCCCTCCATAGAGCCAGAAGGTGGATGCCATATCTGAGTCTCCATCAACCTGGCTAACACTGTTGTGACTCTATGAGACCACCCCACCCAACCTGTGGGCCCACCCAATCTCTTTCCAGTGCCTTTTCTATATAAACAATTTTCCCAAAATCTCTCAAACAAGCAGCATCTGGCCTCAGTGTGCCCCGTACCTCTTGCCAAGTGGCCCCAGTCCTAGCACTCGAGGTAGCCTGCCTTGGTTAGCAGCGTGGCCTCTCCTGGGCACCTCTAAACTCAGGACAAATAGTAGCCAACTGCAAATCACTATGTGCTCAGGTCTGGTGACCCCAGGCAGGGCATAGGTGGCACCTGGTGAACAGCTTCAGAAAACGTCAAAGCACCACCACACAACCACCTCCACAAGTGACACACACAAGGGGCGGATCCAGCAGGCATCAGAGCCCTGCTGTAAAGTCCTGCTCTGTGGGGTCTGCCCCTGCACAGCTGATCCTGCAAGGTACTCATAGTGAGTCCTTGCAGCCAAGTGGCCTGGGCGTAAATCCTCCCTTTGAAGTGCCAACAGCAATCAAGGTTCAACTACAACAGGAGGGTGTACTTAGCCCAGTCCGCATGGGGGGCCCACCTGGAGCAGCTTGGATGACCGGGAAGGCCGTGTCATTGGGCCCTACAAGACACCTATTACTGGTATATAAGGCTAATCTACCAAGCCTGGGAGACTAACAGCCCTACTTAATACATGGAAACAAACACAGGGAGGCAGCCAAAATGAGGATACAAAGGAACATGTACCAAATGAAGGAACAGAATAAAACTCCAGAAAGAGAACGAAACAAATCGAAGACAATCTGTTGGAAGTAGAGTTCAAAACACTGGCTATAAGGGGGCTCAATGAACTTAGGGGAAGAGTAGATGAACGTAGTGAGAACTTCAACAAATAAATAGGAAATATAAAATGGAGATAAGAACATAAAAATGGAGATAGAAAGCATAAAAAAGCACTAATCAGAAATGAAGAATACAACAACTGAAATAAAGAATACATTACAGGGGGCTCTGGCAGGTAACTCAGTTGGTTGTCCTGATATGCCAAGGTTGATCCTGGTCATGGCACATACAAGAATCAACCAATGAATGTATAAAATCAATCAATCAATACAAAATAAAAAGAATACATTATAGGAAACCAACAGTAGAGGATAGATAAAGCAGAGGATCAAATCAGTGATTTGACAGATAAGGAAGCAGAAAACACCCAGTCAGAACAGAAAGGAAAAAAAAATCCAAAAAATGAGGACAGTATAAGAAGCCTCTGGGACAATTTCGAGTGTACCAACATTAGAATCATGGGGGTACCAGAAGGAGAAGAAAAGAGCAAGAACTCGAAACCTATTTGAAAAAAGTAACGACAGAAAACTACCTTAACCCAATGAAGGAAGCAGATATACAAGTCTTGGAAGCCCAGAGAGTTACATACAAGATGAACCCAAAGAAGCCCCAACCAAGACACATCATTAAAATGCCAAAGGTTGCCCTGGCTGGTGTGGCTCGGTTGGTTGGAGAGCAGTCCTATACACCAAGAGGTTGTGGGTTCAATCCCTGATAAAGGTGTGTGCAGGGAGTAAGGGGGGGGGGGCAATCAATTGATGTTTCTTTCTCACATTGATGTTTCTCGCTCTCTCTCTCATCAATAACAACAATAACAAAAAAGCCAAAGGTTAAAGACAAAGAGATTCTTGAAAGCAGCATGAGGAAAGTAATTAGTTACTTACAAGGGAGCTCCCATAAGACTGTCAGCTGATTTCTTAACAGAAACTTTGCAGGCCAGAAGGGATTGGCAAGAAATATTCAAACTGATGAGAAGAAGGACCTATAACCAAGATTACTCAGCAAAACTATCATTAAGAATTGAAAAAGAGATAAAAGAGCTTCCCAGATAAGAAAAAGCTAAAGAAATTCATCACCACCAAACCAGTATTACAAGAAATGTTCAAGGGTCTTCTCTAAAAGAAGGGGAAAAAATACATAAAAATTATGAACAAAAATGGCAATAAATATCCATCAACAATTACTTTAAATGCAAATGGATTAAATGCTTCAAACAAAACACATATGGTGTATGAATGGATAACAATACAAGACCACTATATACGCTGTCTACAAAAGACTCACTTCAGATCAAAAGACACACACAGACTGAAAATAAAAGGATGGAAAAGGACATTTCATAAAAATGGAAATAAAAAGAAAAGCTGGGGTAACAATATTTATACCAGACAAAATATACTTTTTAAAAAAGGCTATAACAAGAGACAGGGAGGGACCCAGCAATTCCACTTATGGGTATTTATCTGAAGAAACACAAAACACAAAATTGAAAAGACATATATGTTCACTGAAACATTATTTACAATAGCCAAGATATGGAAGCAACCAAGTTGTTCATCAATAGATGAATGGATAAAGAAGAAGAACTGGATATATACGATGGACTATGATTCAGGCATAAAAAAGAATAAAACTTTGCCACCTGCAACAACATGGATGGACCTAGAGCAGTGATGGCAAACCTTTTGAGCTCGATGTGTAAGCATTTTGAAAAACCCTAACTTAACTCTGGTGCCGTGTCACATATAGAAATTTTTTGATATTTGCAACTATAGTAAAACAAAGACATATATATATATATATATATATATATATATATATATATACTTTTTACTTTTTTTAAAAAATGGAACGCTTCACGAATTTGCGTGTCATCCTAGCGCAGGGGCCATGCCAATCTCTGTATCGTTCCAATTTTAGTAAATGTGCTGCTGAAGCAAGCACAGACTTATATTTTTGATATTTATTTTATATATTTAAATGCCATTTAACAAAGAAAAATCAACCAAAAAAATGAGTTCACGTGTCACCTGACACGCGTGTCATAGGTTCGCCATCACTGACCTAGAGGGTACTGTGCTGAGTGAAATAAATCAGAGAAAGACAAATGACAGAAGATATCACTTGTATGCGGACTCTGAAAACCAAAATAAACAATCAGAAAAGAAACAGACTCATAGATATAGAGAACATTTTGATGGTTGCCAGATGCAAGGGGGCTTGGAGGAATGGGTAAAAAAAGTGAAGGGATTAAGAAGTAGAAATTGGTAGTTACAGAATAGTCATAGGAACGTAAAGTAGAGCATAAGAATACAGTCAACAGTACTGTAATAACTATGCATGGTGTCAGATGGGTCATAGATTTATCCAGTTGATCACTTCATAAGTTATATAAAATGTCTAATCACCTGCATCTAATAAATATTGTACACCAACAGTAATTGAAATTTTTTTAAAAAGTACACAATTCAATTATCTACACTAAAAGAAGAGGAACATGTAAATTAACCACCACTCTGCTACACCCACCAGCCAATCAGAGTGACTATGCAAATTAACCCAACAAAGATGGTGGTTAATTTGCATACACAGGCACAGAGTCTGAAGACTGAAGATGACTGAAGATGGCGGCAGCCACAGAGCTGGAGTGAGCAGAAGGCTTGAGTTGCTCCTGGCGACAGAGAAAGCCAAGCTTCCCGCTGGCCCTGGGCTCCGCTCAAGGAGGGGCTGGGGGCCTGGGCTCCACTCAAGGAGTGAAAAAAAAAGGGAGGGGCTGGGAGCAGCCGGAGTGGAGAAGCCAAGCCTCGCTGCTGCGGCTGGACCAAGGGCCTGGATCCCGGGTACCGGAGAAAAACCGGTGCCGGCACCCAGGGGTGGGAAGGCCTATTGCATGAATCTTCGTGCAATGGGCCACTAGATTTTAATATATTCACAGAGCTGTGCAACCATCACCACAATCACTTCATCACTTCCAAAAGAAATCCCATACCCATTAGTAACCAATGTGCATTCATTCATCTCTATCCCACTCCTCTAAACCCAACTCCAGACTTAGACAAGCACTAATCTACTTTCTGCCCTCTATGGGTGTAAAGGTTATGAAAAAGACTAAATCAATGTGAACATTTTGACTATAAGTATATGCAATGTAATGTGAAGAAGGCCCAAGCAATGTGTGAGATTCAAGTATAACTTACTCTGCCACGTTCAACTTGTGTGGTCAACATTACAACCATGGAGGAGCCTTGTTCCCAAGTCATCTGCCAAAAATCTGTACAAGTGTGTGGTAACGGCCCTTGGCAAGCAATGTACTGATTTATAATGCTAGAAGAAGGAATTTCCATCTTAAAAGAAAAAGACATGAAAATAAAAATCGATTATATTAGTACTTTTCACTATTATCAAGCATATGAAAATCATCCATGAAATAATTGAATGCAACTAATTCCAATAAACTACAAAGTCAGTACAACAAATCTTTAAATAAAAAATTTTTTTTAAAATCTTCACCTGAGGACATGCTTAGAGAGAGGAAGGGACAAAGGGAGGGAAGGAGAGGTGGGGGGGGGGGGGAGAGACAGGTAGAGAAGGGGAGAGAGAGAGAGAGAGAGAGAGAGAGAGAGAGAGAGAGAGAGAGAGAGAGAGAGAGAGAAACATCAGTTGGCTGCCTTGTGTGCCCTGACCGAAGATGGAACCCAGAACCTGGGTATATGCCTTGACCAGGAATTGAGCTGGCAATCTTTCGGTGCACAGGATGAGCCATTCCAGCTGGTAAGCACAACAAATCTTTATCAACACTTTCTTATTTTACCTGTAGAAGAAATTTCTTGGCAACAGCCTATATATATAGAAACAAACAATAGAAACAGAAATCCAAGTATTTTTCAAAGCAGTATTATGGTTTTAAGAGAAATTTTACAGAGAACCCAGTTTCAGAGGCAGAGACTTGGTCTCTAAACACTTACTGGTAAAATTTGTGAGGAGCAAAAGTTCTGCCAATTTAGTTTAGATTTTATATAATATACCAGAGGCCCAGTGCACAAATTCGTGCACACGGAAAGGAAATTAATTAGAATATTTTAATATCGCTATTCGCTCTTTCTCTATAATAGAAGTGTCAACCAAATTCACAATTGACAATGACAGAAGGAAACACACGCATGCAATTGGCGCTAACGAGAGCTTTATATATATAGATAAATTTGCTTAATTAGACCTGCTTTCTGACTTAGCTAAACTTTTTCCAGCCCAGTGAAGCACCCCCAACTTCCCTTTCAGGTAATTGTCAGCAACACAGCAGTAAATATCAACACGAAGCAGATTATTATTATACATCATGCAGGGGGGACAAAGGGTGAAATATTTAACTGCAGCAGTGATTGACTATATTCTGCACAGTGAGAAAACCTGAAGTCATTTTCAAGGTCCACCATTTCTTACTTTTTTTCAGTTGGGTCAAGTTTTAAGCTTTCTAAATCTTGTTTTCCGGCTAATGAAAAGAAAATAGGATTCCACCAAGTCTCCTATCTACCTACTCCAGGACTTCTGTGAGGATCAAATGAGAACAGATATTTGGTTAAAGTGAAAAATGTTTCCACCTGGCTAAAAAGCAAGTCGTGTTCCTGCACGACCAACAAGGAGATTAGTCACTAGGGAGAGGAAGCCATGCATTGTTATGTGACGTCATTAGCCAGCGCCCACAGCTACCGTTTCCAGGCTCGGCTAGGCTGTGGGCCGCACTTTGCACCATGGGGTCTTGGCAGCGTTGGCTGTGATTTGGTGGGCTGTCGCTCCTAGATGGTGGCAGGGCCTGTGTCCCACTTTGGGGAAGCCGAGTGTTGCTTTATGGGCACCAGGTCCATGGTGTTATTTCTCTGTAAATGGCCAGTGCATGTCACGGCAGCTCCTGCATTGAGTATCTGCCCCCTGGTGGTCAATGCATGTCATAGCAACCAGTCAGATGGACAATTAGCATATTAGCCTTTTATATATAGACTAGAGGCCCAGTGCACAAAAATTTGTGCACTCGGGGGGAAAAGAGGCTCCCTCAGCCCAGACTGTGCCCTCTCGCAGCCTGGGACCCCTTGGGAGATAAAAATCTGCTGGCTTAGGCCTGCCCCCGGGTGGCAGAGGGCAGGCCCAATCCCTAGGTGCAGCCCCTGGTCAAGCTCAGAGCAGGGCCGATTGGGGAGTTGGGGTGCCGCCCCTATCATGCACAGAGCAGGGCGGATCGGGAGGTTGCGATGCCACCCTCAGTCACGCTCAGGGTAGGGCTGATTGGGGGGTTGGGGCACTGCCCCCTGTCACACTCAAGGCAGGGTCGATGGGGAGGTTGTGGCGCCACCCCGTCATGCACAGAGCAGGGCCAATCAGGGGGTTGGGGCGCTGCCCCCTGCCACTCACAGAGCAGGGCCCATCAGGGAGTTTGGGGCTCCGCACCCTGTCACGCACAGAGCAGGGCCGATCAGGGGGGTTGGGGAGCTCCCCCTGTCACACACAGAGCAGGGCCGATCAGGGGGGTAGGGAGCTCCCCCATCACTCACAGAGTAGGGCCGATAGGGGAGTTGGGGCACCGCCCCGTCACACACAGAGCAGGGTGGATCAGGGGGTTGCCGCACCCTCTCACACTCAGGGCAGGGCTGATGGGGAGGTTATGGCTCTACCCTGTCACACACAGAGCAGGGCCTGTGGGGGGCGGTTGGGGCGTCGCCCTCTATCACCCACAGAGCAGGGCCGATCAGGGGGTTGGGGCACCGCCACTGTCACACTCAGGGCAGGGCCGATGGGGAGGTTATGGTTCTACCCCGTCACACACAGAGCAGGGCCCGTGCGGGGAAGGGGGGTTTGGGGCGCCGCATCCTGTCACACACAGAGCAGGGCTGATCAGGGGGTTGGGGCGCTGCACCCTATCACACACAGAGCCGCAGGGCGATCAGGGGGTTGGGGAGCTCCCCCCTATCAGGCACAGAGCAGGGCTGATCAGGGGGTTGGGGCGCCTTCCCCTGTAACGAACAGAGCAGGGCTGATAGGGAGGTTGTGCCCCACCCCCTGTCACACACAGAGCTGCAGGGAGATCAGGGGGTTTGGGCGCTGCCCCCTGTCACGCTGATCCCGGTGCCGGGAGGCCTCGCGGCTCCGCTGATCCTGGTGCTGGGAGGCATATTACCCTTTTACTATATAGGATAGAGGCCTGGTGCACGGGTGGGGGCCGGCTGGTTTGCCCTGAAGGGTGTCCCGGATCAGGGTGGGGGTCGCCACTGGGGTGCCTGGCCAGCCTGGGTGAGGGGATGATGGCTGTTTGCAGTTGGTCACACACTCTTCAGGGTGGGGTTCCCCACTGGGGTGCCTGGCCAGTCTGGGTGAGGGGCTGAGAGCTGTTTTCAGGCTGGCGGGTGACGGAAGCTCCCAACTGCTCCTTTTTTTCTTTTTTTTTTTCTGGGACAGCTTTAGCTCTGAGGCTCCAGCTCTTAGGCCTCCGCTGCTGAAAGCAGGTATCTGGTTTGTTTCGGTTCTATAATCGAAACAATGTATAACTCCAGCTCTGAGATCCCGGCGGGCTGAAAGCAGGTTTCTGGGGTTTTGTTTAGCTTCTATATTTGTTACAATGTTTCAAACTGCAGGCTCAGAGGCTGGCAAGGCAGGCGGGGAATGTTGGTTTCCTCTGTCACTGAAGCAAGCAAGCCTCATGTTAGTTTCAAGGTGCCTGGCTGCCGGATGCCATCTTGGCTGGCAGTTAATTTGCATATCGCCCTTGACCGGTCATCGAACCCGAGTCCTTACGGTCTGAGGGCCAATGCTGTAACCCTCAGCAAAACTGGCCAGGGCCATTTTCTTTTTTCTACTTTATCTTTGAGATCATGTCAGATTAGTAAAAAAATTTCATTCCTTTTAGTGGCTCTACTGTATAAATATATCATACTTTATTTAACAGATATTTAAGTTGCTGCTAATCTTTTCGCTATCATAAACAAAACTGCACTGAATACTTTTGCAAACCTAAAATTTTGGGGCACATTACAAGAAACCTATTTGTGTGGGCAATAGGAAGAAATGACAATGCTGAATCAAAGTATATGTGCATTTAGAATTTTGTCAGAGAGTACCAAATTGCTCTCCAAAGAGATTGCACATATTTATACTTTTACCATAATGTATGAGAAATGATTGTTTCCTGATAATGTCCTTAATAAAAAGTGTAAATCTGTCTTTTTCTTTTGGTACACCTGACCTAACCTGGACTCATTTGACAGGAACATCTGAGTTGATCTCATCTAAGACTGTTAGTGGAAATATCTATAGTTGGCATGTTGAATATAATATACTCATTATAGCCTGCTAAGGTTGTTACCTATATAATACATAATCTATGCACTTAATAACCTTAAAGAAGTCCAAAAAATTTCTAAATTCTGAAGCATCTTTGATCTCAAGTTTTCAGATAAAGGATATAGACTTACATATAGTATTATCAAACTTTCCGACATTTCAGCCTAGTAAGTAAAAAATGGTAATTCTTTGCAGTTTTGATTTGCATTTTTCTTTTTAAGAAAAGTGTATTTTTATTTAACTGTTAGTATTATTTTTTAAAGTGTTATAATGGTATTATGGTTTTGTTAAAAAAAATAAAAATAAAAAAGGTCCCCAGAGATACATACTAAAATAGTTAATCATCACTATTCACAGATTCTGTATTTGAAAGTTTGCCTGCTTGCTAAAATTTATTTGTAATCCTAAAGTGCTTGTAGAGCTTTCATGGTTATTTATAGACATGTCCAAAGAGGTAAAAAATCTGAGCCACCCAAAGTGTACATTTCCTGTTAATGTTGTTAAGATGCTGTTCTGCCTTCTTGCTTCTGCTCTCATACTTAAACAACTGCCCTTTTTACAGTCTATGTAGTGCTATGTTTTAAAATTTCTGTGCTTGTTGTTAGCGATTTCACTGTTTAAAACAGTCCCCAAGTGCTAAAGTGCTGCCTACTGTTCTAAGTGTAAAGAGGCCATGAAATGCCTTATGGAGAAAATACACGTTAGATAAGCTTCTTTCAGGCATGAGTTATAGTGCTGTTGGGTGTGAGTTCAATGTTAATTAATCAACAATGTGTATTAAATAAGGTATCTTTAAACAGAAGCAAGGTTATGTACTGATTAACTGACAAAAATGTTGCAAATAGAGGCTCATGGGACCCATACCATATATTTTTCCCTTGCAGCAAGGATTCAGTATTTGCTAATTCAGGGTTAATGAAGACTTTATAGACTATCACAAATAACAAGAATTGATTGTATTTACAAAAAGTGATATATTTGATTTAAATAAATCGGGGGGGGGGGGGGGGGTAGTGTTTAGATCAGCCGTGGGCAAACTATGGCCCGCGGGCCGGATCCGGCCCGTTTTTAATTAATAAAACTAAAAAAAAAAAAAAAAAGACCGTACCCTTTTATGTAATGATGTTTACTTTGAATCTATATTAGTTCACACAAACACTCCATCCATGCTTTTTTTTTTTTTTTTTAAATATATTTTATTGATTTCTTACAGAGAGGAAGGGAGAGGGACAGAGAGCCAGAAACATCCATGAGAGAGAAACATGGATCAGCTGCCTCCTGCACGCCCCCCACCGGGGATGTGCCCGCAACCAAGGTACATGCCCCTGACCGGAATCGAACCCGGGACCCTTGAGTCCGCAGGCCGAAGCTTTATCCACTGAGCCAAACCGGTTCTGGCTCCATCCATGCTTTTGTTCCGGCCCTCCAGACCAGTTTAAGAACACATTGTGGCCCTCGAGTCAAAAAGTTTGCCCACCCCTGGTTTAGATGGAACAAGATTGGCCATCCTATATAATAAAAGGCTAATATGCAAATCAACCAAACTGCGGAACAACCGGTCAGTATGACATACACTGACCACCAGGGAGCAGACGCTCAGTGCAGGAGCTGCCTCCTGGTGGTCAGTGTGCTCCCACAGGGGGAGTGCTGCTCAGCCACAAGCCGGGCTCACGGCTGGTGAGTGTAGCGGCGGTGGCGGAGACTTATAGAGCTCTTTATATATTGATGAAATAAGCCCTTTATACTATTTAAAAAATTCAGTTTGTCATTTCATTTTAGTACTTTTCAAAGCATCCCCCAAATTAAAATTTATACATTGCCCAACTCATCAATCTTTTGTTATAGCTCAGACATGTACCTAAGCTTAGAAAAGCCTTCTCCCTTCTGAGATTTTAAACAATTCTCACATATTCCTCAAAGTATTTTCATTTCCATTTCATACATTTATATTTGATACACCTAAAATGTATGCTGGCCTCAAGAATGTGTAAAGTGTTTATAGATCAATTATATGATGTGTGGATTTGTTCCAAAACAATGTGGATGTGTGGGGGCACGGTGGGGGGATAGATGAAACAAAGTTGGCCATTAGTTGGTAATTGTTGAAGCTGAGTCATATGTATAAGAGGTTCATTTTACTTTTTCTCTACTTATGTATGTTTAAAATTTTCTGTAATACAAAGTAAAAATAGTAATCCTCTTTTTGCCCCATGGGGGTGGGAGGAGACCTCCTTACCATGGTATATTCCAGACAGACCTAATTCATTTACTAGATCATCAGTTTTATCTTAAATTGTTTGCGGGTAGTTTTATTGCGCGCTAACAGGTGGCGCGGGCCATTTTTGCTAATTTTTTGTGCAAATGGCAACGTTCAGTAAAATTACGATAACTTTAGTTTACGTATTTATATGTTACCCGCGTTCTACCGCTAGTCTATAAAAAACATATTAATACGTGTCCGGCGCCGCTCTACTACCAGTCAACGTAAAACGTATAAATACGTTTCCCGCATACAATGTGTTAAATAATTTAAAAGGCTATCTCTACCGTAAACAAAATTCTAGTCTTTATTTCAGCCTATTTCTAGACTAGATTATTCCATTTCACTCTTCTATGTATATATTAATATGCCAGTATCAAACTATTTTTAACATTAATTTTATAATACTTTAAAATATGTAAAAGTTTTAATATTCTCTCAAGGTTAGGCTTTTAACAAAAAGTAATAAATCTCAGTTTATAGTGGCCCTTCTTATACCAATGATATAATAAAAATAAACTTACATTTATATAATTTGCATTGATATAATCTTCATTACCCTTTAAAATGACCCGTGTAGCATCATCTGAAAAAATTTCAAAAGAAAATTTTTTTAGTAAAGTTATGTTAAAAAGATTAAAGCCTAACATACAGAAATCATAGATACTTACAAGGCGAAATATCTCTGTATCTATTTTTGGAAATATTCTGAGGTAATTTGGCACAAGACATTGTCATTCCAGGTTTTTTCCGATATAGTTGCTAAAACAAAACAAAACAAAAAGGTACGAGATCAGCAAGCCATCAAAAGTTATCATTTTGTTTTTCTGACTTGTTCCTATGCTATGAAACAAGTTTTTTTTTTTTCCTTAGAATACCTCATCTATTCAATGATGTACCTTAGGCTGATAGGATATTAAACCAGATTTGCAAAGCTAAATTCTGTACAAATTCTGATATGAATTGTATATCATAATTTAGCAGTGGTTCTCAACCTGTGGGTCGCGACCATCGGAAAACACATATAGCATATCAGATATTTACATTACGATTCATAACAGTAGCAAAATTACAGTTATGAAGTAGCAACGAAAATAATTTTATGGTTGGGGGTCACCACAACATGAGGAACTGTATTAAAGGGTCGCAGCATTAGGAAGGCTGAGAACCACTGATTTAGAGATTGGCAAAATAAACGAAGATAATTTTTCTTACAGCAAAAAGTACCTGAAGTTTTGAACAGAAAATCTGCAGAAAACATTTAGCTTTTATTTACTTTGTAGATATTTAAAGTATATGAACCCAGAACTTAAAGAAACAAGCAAAACTGACAGACCTTAAATTTTTTTTAGTCACAAATGTTTTAGTCAGTTACCTGTAACATATACTTCAGAGCACAAATACTAATGATGGCTAACTACACTGACAAAAATGAAATATTACAAGGTTCAAGTTATTTTCCTTTAACTTAGGGTTTTTAAGTCTGCAATTGCCTACCTTCATCTGCCAACTTTCACAAAAACAGTTATTTAATTACAGAAAAAAATGTAGTTTGATGACATATGCATAAAAATCTATTTTTCTCTTTTAAGTAGACATCTATTTATGTAACCATAGCTACTGTTTGGGGAGCAATTTTTAAAACTTTATATTTTAGAACTATTCTCAAATATTTCTCAGAATGCCATTTTAGTTTGTAAATTGTAACTGATAGATAAGGCAGTTAAGAAATCATACAGCCCTAGCTGGTTTGGCTCAGTGGATTGAGCGTTGGCCTGCGGACTGAAGGGTCCCAAGTTCTACTCTGGTCAAGGGCACATGCCCGGGTTGCGGGCTCGATCCCCAGTAGGGGGAGTGCAGGAGGCAGCCAATCAATGATTCTCTCTCATCATTGGTGTTTCTATCTCTCTCTCCCTCTCCCTTTCTCTCTGAAATCAATTAAAAGAAAAAGAAAAAAGAAATCATGCAATATTGCCCTGGCTGGTGTGTCTCAGTTGGTCGGGTGTAGCCCCGTGCACTGAAAGGTTGCTGGTTCAATTCCCTGTCAGGGCACATGCACAGGTTGCAGGCTTGATCCATCGGGGATGGATATTTCTCTCTCTCTCCTTCCCAATTCTCTCTTTAAATATCAAAATTTGAAAAATCTAAAAAAAAAGAAAAGAAACCATACAATATTACTTACATCAAATTGTGTCAGGACTGTTCCCGTGATAAGCCCCTCAGCTAGCTGGATCATTGACTCTCGCAGGGAATGATCATCCTGATGGACGCTATCTAGTGGGGCTTTTTCAGGAATGTACTGGAAGTCTGGCTCAGTTTCTAGCTTTTCTTCCACTACATCATAGACAGCTAAGACAAAAAAATAAAATAAAAATTTTAATAAAGACACATGAAAAACTTAATGAATTGGGAAAAGAATTTACCAGATTTATTCTTTAATTATGTGTCAGGAAAAATAATTTATTTATTCATAATTCATCAGATCTGAGTCTGATGTCATGGTGTAGGGGCAAACGGTGACTGTGGAGACGAAGAAGTTTGCCGCACCTTAGAGGAAAAGAACGGTTCTTGGCTATAATTGCTGAAAATATCCATAACTTGAAGAGACATTAAGAAAAAGAGGAGCTGCCAAGAAGCAGCTCTGAAGAGACCTGCCCTATTGTGGGACGTAAGGCAAGAGTACAAATAGAAGCCTATATACTATATGTCTAGATACGAATGGTTATAAAGGAAACAGAGTTCTAAACAAAACATGTTTTATCCTCTCCTTGACATATTTACAAAACAACCTGGGAGTCTGCATTTCAAATGAGAACCTAGGCCAGAATTCATGGCCAAGGCAGTGTGAGGAGAGACAGACCCTAGACCAGCCGTGGGCAAACTACGGCCTGCGGGCAGGATCCGGCCTGTTTGAAATGAATAAAACTAAAAAAAAAAAAGACTGTACCCTTTTATGTAATGATGTTTACTTTGAATTTATATAAGTTCACACAAACACTCCATCCATGCTTTTGTTCCGGCCCTCTGGTCCAGTTTAAGAACCCATTGTGGCCCTCGAGTCAAAAAGTTTGCCCACCCCTGCCCTAGACCCTGGTCTGTAGTACACCCTCTTTCTTTTCTTGCCCTCAGATACATTATTTAACATGGGAGAATATGAACATTCCCATGAACATCCCAATCCATATGTAAGCTTGTTTACAACTCTCTGCAAATTGCTGCATCTTACTAGTAGCCATGCCCCTAAGTCTACACACATCATGTGAGCCACCTTGGGAGAATGGATTTGGGGAAAACGGGCACACAGAATCAGAGCTATTTGGACAGAGAATTGAAAGTTGAAAATAGTGGTTTAGGAAGGATGGGGAAGTCACAGGTGATGCCCTGGCATGTCCCCTTGCTCCTACAAAATCCTGACCCCACGGTGGTGGTGGTGGTGGGAGGCAAGGCTGAAGGAGAGACAGAAAACAGCCCTCTAAAGAATGGAGTCAAGCTAGGGGTCTCTTATATCCTTGACTAAGAGTTTTGGTTCCTGCTCAGATATGAATGTACTTTGGGGAAGAATAAATTTTGGAAATGAAGAACAAAAAAGCAAAAAAGAATGAATGCATATTGTCTAAGAAGAAATAAGATTTAAAGGGGAAAATACCAGAAAAAGAGAAACTCTTTTTCTGATATTTTTGGCAAACATAATTTTAAATTTTGATTATGTAGTAAGTCTTCACTTAACATTATTGATACTACTTCTAATATTAAATATTTAAATAAATGTGAGCTATTCACAAATTTAATAAAAATTAATAAAAATAGGTAAAATAATTATTTTCCAACCTGCTTATTTTAGTTCAGGATCGCAGGTGGCTAGAACCTCACCTGGCAGTTCAGGGCACCTAGACAGGATGCCCTTCCATCACAGGGCCACTCACACACACATTCATACTCGCTCAGACTAGGACAAGGTAGAAACGTCAATTCACCTTACGTGCGTATCTTTGGGATGTGAGAGGAACCCGAGTCAGCAGAGAATACCCAGGAAGACATGGGGAGAATGTGGAAACTTCACACAGTGATCTGGCCAGGGATCTTTTTCTTTATCTCATCAATGTTATATCCGATGTTAAATGAAACATTATTCGATAACCTGCTGTTTGTTATTTTAAGTAAAAAAAAGGACAAGGTAGACCCTGAAAGTGAATACAGGTCTTGCCCAGATTTTGACATTAAATAATAATAGAAAGATGTTTTGTCAAAACCTAGGTGGGTTCCTCTCCTGATTTAAAGTATAAATGAGGTGATTTGAACTGCAAAAAAGCTAAGACTTTTCCATTATATGGACTTTTGTTTATATTTGGGTCCGTACTAGTCATAAATTTGTGAGCAGAAACTGAATGTCTAGGTGTCAAAATGTCCTCAACTATAAAAAGGGGATGTCACATAGGTCACTGGATAGTTGTAAAGATTAAATGAGAATATACAAGAGTTCAGGTGCATCGAAAACATATAAAAACTATTATTATTATGTTCTTTAATATCTGTTATCAAGAGAAAAAAAACGGAGAGGATGTTATCCTATCTAATAAAAGAGAAACATGGTAATTAGCCGTAACTTCGCTACCCTTCCCATTGGCTAATCAGGGAGATATGCAAATTAACTGCCAACCAAGATGGCGGCCAGTAGCCAGCCAGCTGAAGCGAAAAGGGAGGCTTGCTTGCTCCAGTGACGGAGAAAGCCAACGTCCCCGCCTGCCGCTGCTGGGCTCTGAGCTTGCACTGTAAGAAACATTGTTACAAATACAGAAGCTAAACAAAACCCCAGAAACCTGCTTTCAGTCAGCCGGGATTTCAGAGCTGGAGTTGCAGCAAAGTTTCAAATACAGAAGGTAAACAAAGTCCAGAAACCTGCTTTCAGCAGCTGAGGTCTGAGTTAAAGCCGGCTCTCAGCTCCAGTGACAGCCAAAGAACGTAAATAAATCCCAGAATTAAAAAAAAAGGAAAAAAGGAGAGGTTGGGAGGAGTTTCAGTCACCCGCCAGCCTGAAAACAGCCCTGAGCCCCTCACCCAGGCTGGCCAGGCACTCCAGTGGGGACCCCCACCCTGAAGGGGGAGTGACCAGCTGCAAACAGCCATTATCCCCTAATCCAGGCTGGCCAGCACCCAAGCGGGACCCCCACCCTGAAGGGGGTGTGACCAGCTGCAAACAGCCATCATCCCCTCACCCAGGTTGGCCAGGCACCCAAGCGGGACCCCCACCCTGATCCAGGACACCCTTTAGGGCAAACCAGCCGGCCCCCACCCGTGCACCAGGCCTCTATCCTATCTAGTAAAAGGGTAATATGCCTTCCAGCACCGGGATCAGCAGAGCCGCGAGGCCTCCGGGCCTGGGATCAGCGGAGCCACAAGGCCTCCCGAATCCGGGATCAGCGGAGCAGCGGGGCCTCTTAGCACTGGGATCAGCTGAGCAGTGAGGCCTCACTGCCCCTGTGTCAAGCGGAGCAGTGAGGCCTCCCAGCACCGGGATCAGCGGAGCCGCGAGGCCTCCCAGCACCGGGATCAGGGGAGCTATGAGGCCTCCTGGCCCCTGGAGCAGCGTGACAGAGGGCAGCGCCCAAACCCCGATTGCCCTGTGGCTCTGTGGGTGACAGGGGGCAGGGCCACAACCTCCCTATCCGCTCTGCTCTGTTCGTGAAAGGGGAAGGCACCCCAACCCCCTGATCTGTGCCTGATACGGGGGAGCTCCCCAACCCCCTGATCGGCCCTGCTCTGTGTGTGACAGGGTGCAGTGCCCCACCCCCCCATTGGCCCTGCCCTGAGTGTGACAGGGGAGAGCTCCCCCATGGGCCCTGCTCTGTGTGTGACGGGGTGGAGCCACAACCTCCCCATAGGCCCTGCCCTGAGTGTGACAGAGGGGAGTGCCCCAACCCCGATTGGCCCTGCTCTGTGGGTGACAGGGGGCGGCGCCCCAACACCCCAATCGGCCCTACCCTGAGCGTGACTGAGAGTGGCATCGCAACCTCCTGATCCGCCCTGCTCTGTGCATGACAGGGGGCGGCGCCCCAACTCCCCAATTGGCCCTGCTCTGAGCCCGACCAGGAGCTGCGGGGCAGGCACCTAGGGATTGGGCCTGCCCTCTGCCACCCGGGAGTGGGCCTAAGCCAGCAGGTTGTTATCTCCTGAGGGGTCCCAGACTGTGAGAGGGCACAAGTGGGGCTGAGGGACACCCCCAACCCCCGCCAGTGCACAAATTTTTGTGCACTGGGCCTCTAGTCTTAGTATAAAATTTAAGTTGCTTACTTAACAGAAAATGCCTAATAATGAATCACCTAAATATCAGATCTAAATGACTTCCTTGAAAAATCAAAATAGAATGTTGTGTTGGAGTCCTGCAAATTTTCCTAGAATGCAAATTCCAGATCATGAATGTGGAGAGCACCTGGGAAGGCACATGGGCATTTCTTTAATTATTGTCAGCTGAATCCAGTTGGGCAAAGCCATGTCCTGGAAACACCCTTTGCCAAAAGGCAGGAGTGTTGTCAGCTTGACCTTCAGCCCAGGTGCCAGGGGGTAGGTTTTGTTATTTAAATCCAGCCAAGTACCAAGAATGAATACGACTTGGGTCCACCCAAGAATGCGCATAATCTCCTTTGTCTTGACTTTTAGTAAAACTTCCTGTTTTTTTTGCTGTATAAATTAAATACGTTCGCTGTATTGGCTTGGGGTCCCTTGTCCCTGTCGCATCATCAGAGGACAATGGTCCCACCTGGCCCCAGCTTTTTTCTTCCATCTCTGTGTCTGTCTCTTTCTTTCATTTTCTCAGTCCCCAGCCGCCCCTACTCAGGAACTGGACTGCTCTCTAGCCGCGCTGGACGCAGAGAAGAGAGACATGAAAGCAGAAAAACAAAGTAGAAAAGATAGAATGAAAATGCCTATTTGTACACAACAGGCAAAATGAGTTTTGTATTTTTTTCTTGCAATTTTTACAGGGTTGGGTGTGGTGTGGGAATAGGTAGAGTTCTAATTACATTTTACTTGAATATATACCACAGGTATATATTCAACAACTGGTAATATAGCATTAACCAATAATTACTCTTATGGCTAAGACTATGATTAATAGTAAACTGTACAGAATAAAACCAGAAGACTATGTCTAATGCTGGGATATAGGCATACAAGAATTTTTTCTAGAGGAGATTGATATAGTGTGGAGGGAACTTGAAACAATGCCATATGAACACTCACTGAAGGATCTGGGGTTAGTGAACTGGAGGAAAGGGAGAGGGTTTCTGGTAAAATCATCTATTGCCAAAAACTGAAGGAAGAGGGATTAAATTTATTCTGCATAACACAAAGTGATAGATTTAGGAACAATAGGACTGAAGGAATTTGGATTTTAGTTCAAATTAATAGTTCAAGCTATTCAAAGCGGGGGGGATGAACTACTTCATGAGCTACTGAGTGCTCTGCACCGGTAGGACATTCTTGAGATCGCTACCGAGGAACTCAAGCAGTCAGTAAAGGAGCCAGAGCTTACAGCATTAGGGCTTCTCCAACCTTGGGACTCTGACTCTGAATTAGCACATCAGCTGTCCAGAGCAGGAGATGAAATGATTAGGCTACTAGGCATTCTCTACTAAAAACACAGACAGGCTTAAAAAAATGCTTTAACTGTAGCTTGTTATAGAGTTTTCTAAAAGTGGAACAGAGTTCAAAATTTACTAATTCATTCAACAATTATTTATTGATTATCTATTACTATTACTAGAGCAAGTGGGAGAAGAAGGAGGCCATTTTAGCTATGGTAGTCAGAAGGGAAGGACTTTCTGAGGATCACACGTGACAGGAAACCTGAAGGAAGTGAGAGTATAAGTCATACAAAATCAGGAAAATCATACAAAATGTAGGCAGAAGGAATAGCAGGAAAGCCAGCACAGAACAGAGTGAGCAAGGCTGAGTGGTAGGCAAGGAGGTCAAGAACTTACATTTTACTCCAAGTGTGAATGGAAGCCACTATACTTTGAGCAGGAAACTGATATGACAAGACAGGTTTAGGTTTCAAAGCCTACTCTGGCTGCTATTCCAGTAAGAAACACTAATAATTATGAAAACTATCCAGTGCTACGTAGACTACTTACCATTAGGTCGGACTAGAAGTACGAGTTCCCCAGAATGTCTCTCACAGCTAGCTTTAATAAACAGGACAACCTGGTCATGGGTATGTTCTGCAATGTCCCGACCATTGATCAGTACAACTTGGTCCCCTTCATTCAATCGAGGGACACAGAGGTCAGCCTGCAACGTAATGCAAATAAGGTTTCAGATTTGTACATGGCTTTCAAAAAGTAAAGCACAAAAATTTATTTTTATAGACTCTATAGAACTAAAACTACATATAGAAAAACATCTATCCATTCATTCATCTACTCAAAAAAACAAAAAAACAAACCAAACAGAAATCTAGCTTTCCCATGAAGATACTATACTTTTTTCTATTTTCATTCAACAATTTTTCCCCTGATGCCTTATTACATGCATAGCCATACAGATAAGACTAGTTATCTGGAGATGCCTAGGCACAGTCAGGCCTCACTTTGTACTATCCAGATACGTACAAATTTCTGTTACCACAGTTTAGTCAAGTAACACCTATCTCTCAACAAGGTGCAAATTTCAGTTTCCACTGTGAATGTATTAATTGTAAATAATCACATAAAATACAATCTTTGCTGCTAGATTGTAGTACAAAACTCGCTACATAAATAATAGACATATCACGACCAATGACCCAACACATCACTTCCTTCAATGTCTGCTGGTGATCTGTCGCTGGGCACCTGTTACTCAGTTCCTGCAGAGACAGCAAAGTGTATACTTGTGCTGCCTCATCTCCCAACAATAAACCCACATAAAAATGGATAAAAAACAGCTGATGGTGGAAATATACACTGCTACTGTTTAAGACAGTGGTCGCCAACCTTTCGGACCTCACGGACCACCATCTCAGAGGCTAGATATACAGAGAAGGGGATTTAGTGAAGGGGAACTTATCAACATGATGAAAGTGGGTATAATAAAAAGGATGAAGTTTTTATTGAGGACATGATGCTGGCATAAAACTTCTCATTAAAGGAGAAGATTTTGGAGATTTTGGAGATATTTTACAACATTAAAAATGCAGAGGACTGCCCAGCTGGTGTGGCCCAGTGGTTGAGTGTTGACCTAGGAACCAAGAGGTCACAGTTCAATTTCAGGCTAGGGTACATGCCTGGGCTGTGCACTGGATCCCTAGTGGGGGGTGTGCAGGAGGCATCCAATCAATGATATTCTCTCATCATCGATGTTTCTAGCTCTCTCTCCCTCTCCCTCTCCTTTCCTCTCTGAAATCAATAAAAGTTTACTTAAAAAAATGCAGAGGACCAAACATTGGAAGTAAATTCAAACTTAGAAAGAATTATAACAATTTGCTAAGACAAGAAAGCATGCTCACTCTGTATTTTAATTTATATGACGAGAAGGGTACAAGCCTGTTCAAACTACTTATTATAAGTTTTCATGAAGAAATAAAATACTTAAGTTCTCAATGTTTCTAATGTTTAGAATGACAGGACAGTAAATCAGTATTAATTTTACTTTTTTTTTTTTTTTTAAATAAGCACTGGTTTCACAGATTTTATTTATTTATCCTCTTCTGAGGACATGCACTGATTTTAGAGAGGAGGAAGGGAATGGGAGAGAGAGACATCAATTAGCTGCCTCCCATACGTGCCCCAACTGGGACTGAACCAGCAACCTAGGTATGTGTCCTGACAGGAAATCAAACCACAATCTTTTGGTGTATGGGACGATGCTCCCACCAACTGAGCCATCTGGCCAGGGCTAGTTTTACTATTTCTCATATCCCTATACATTTATAAGGGAAAGAAAGAGACATTTTAATGAAAAATTTAAAGGTCTTAGAAACAACCATAATTTTCCCCATTGATTATCAAGGTCACTTTACATAGTTTCAGCTTAAATGGTCATTTTTATGGTCCTGTACTACTGTGCAAAGTGATGACTGCCTGTATTTTATTGAGAAAATAAATAATTCAAATGAGATAAACAGAAATATGGACAGCAATAAGGAGGCATGGGAAGAATGTTTGAAGGATGATAGAGCAGATAGAGAAGGAAATGATGGGGCTGGGCCTCACACAAAAAAGGAACTTCCTGTTGCAAAAGCTTGAAGACTTGAAAACATGACTACTCAAATTCACTATAAGCACAGTCAATAAAATCCAACACGATATATTATTAATGAAAAGAACACTGGTCTGGGAACCATATTCTTCCTCTACTGCTTATAAAATGTGTGCTCTGGACACCCGAAACTCTGAAAAGGGAGCAGATATCTGCTCTGATTATAATAACAAAGAGCTGTGAAGATAAAAATGATGTAAGTATGCAAAATGTTAAAATCTGGAGAACTCAAATTTAAGGTTACAACCATTCTCCCTAGTTGCTTTTTTCTATCCTTCTTGTAGTGAAGCAGATAATAGTCCTATACGCCTTCTGTGTATTAGTAGTGTGATACGTTTATGTATCAATTTGGTCCAAGTTTTGTAAACGTCTTCAAGGTACCCAAAGAGTGGTGAACTGGAAGATATTAATGGTTCTGGGAGAAAAGGGTTATAGCGAAAAAAGTTATACTCTCACCTTACTTTGTGGATAGTATAATTAATGAAAAGAGGAGGTAATCTATGTGCTAAGGAGAAGATAGCTATGAATCTCTAACTGTACCTTCATACAGCCACTGATACAACAAAGGATTGAGGCTAAAGGGCAGTATTAACCAAAATGCTATATCTAACATGCAGAGATTTTTTTTTTTAAATATATTTTATTGATTTTTTACAGAGAGGCAGGGAGAGGGATAGAGAGTTAGAAACATCGATAAGAAACATCGATCAGCTGCCTCCTGCACACTCCCCACTGGGGATGTGCCCGCAACCAAGGTACGTGCCCTTTACCGGAATCGAACCTGGGACCCCTCAGTCCCCAGGACGACGCTCAATCCACTGAGCCAAACTGGTTAGGGCCAGAGATTTTTTTTTTTAACCCATTATCATTGAAGGGAAAGAACTCTCTGATGCTTAATCTGCTTTTTCAGTTATGTTTATAATTTTTTATTTGCATTTCATTCTGATTTGGAAAGTCCACATGAATTGTATATTAAAATAAATTTTGTTGCATAAACAGCTATTGGCTTAAAGATGATCACATTGGAACAAAAATTTGACTTTAATTGGGAATTATTTTATCCATTTCAGAAGGAGTACAATAAAAAAAACATTAAAATATTTAAAACTCTTTTCCCCCCACTTAAAATGAGGTTTCCAATTGGAAGATTGTGATGGTCTCCAAATTAGTAAAATAATATAAAAATGATAAACTTCTATTGTTTTAATTTGTCCTAAATTCAGCTAATATATATATATGGAACACAGTTCTACGTGCCAAAAAGGAAACATTTACCAATAATCTGTATAGCCTAAAAAGAAAATTTAGAGTCACAGAATTCTGTTTGGAAGTGAACCTACTACCTATAGAATGTTCCCTGAACATCCTTGACTTAATTAATATCTATCCACATTCACTGCTCAGAAAAATCAATATTTCTTTTTTTGTGTCATTCACTGATTATTACAACTGGCATAATAAAAAAGGTTTATTGCATTTTCTAATTATAAAAGCAATGCATACTCACTGTCATGATCTATACAAAAAGGAATATAGAATTGATAAATATCAGTAATTCCACTACTCAGATGAAACACTGTTAACATTTTAAGCATGTATCTAGACTTTTTAATACACATAATTCACATTTTAAAAAACTGGATCAAATATAAATGTAGAATTGTAATACTCATTTTTTATAATATCTTATGAACATATCTACATACTAGAATAGAGCTACATCATCCTTTTCAATAGCTGCAAAGCAACACATAATGTATTTCACCAGCTCTGATGATGTACATTTGATTTGCCCCTGATTTTTTACTGTTATAAACAATACTACAGTGAACATCCTTGTATATCTTTTGTTCCCTAGCACAACTGTTTCATTAGAGGCCATTCATTGTCAGGTCAAAAGATATATATTTAAGTTGTAATTAAAACCATTTCTTGTGTTCTTCCCTCCCATTCCCCTCTCTAGAGTCAACTTCTTTCAACATCTTAGCTACATCTTTTGTGTTTATCTCAGTAACTCCACATATCTCCCCTATTTGTTTTTTGTTTTTTTTTAGTTTTCTATGTTAGACATTATCTATCTTACTACTTGATCAGAATTTAACAGCCTTTTATCTCTTCATCTGTAGTCAAAACATATACATAGTTATCATTAAATATATACTAAATAAATAATTTTGGACTATTTTTCTCATCTTTGCCTCCGTCCTTCATATGTATAGTAGATTCAAGAGTAATTTTATACATTGTATCCATGTCCTGTCCCCTATGACCTCAAGATTGGTTTAAAAGAGGACATCTGACTCAAACTGGATCTCTGACTGGTTTATTTCCCAGGAGCCTGTAATTTGTACATGCCTAATTGTTTTGGGTTGCTGAGATGGTAATATATAAATATGGAAGTTACTAGTAGTCATATCCTACCATGTGGACTGAGGACAAAATAACAGTAGCTATACAATTTTAATTTAGCAGAGATTTAGGAGTCATAATTATATCTGAAGGCAGAGTGTGTCTGGTGGTGGTGATATTACAGGACTTGACCTGTCACTAAATACACTATTTTTATTCAGACTAATATATTTGAAGTGGTTTGAGAGATGTTGCAGATTCAGTGTACAAAATGGTTTGTACTGAGAGAAGAATGGGACATTCACATAAGAAATATAGATAAAAAGTAGAGAGTGACTGATGAGTACTTTCTGGAGGTGTAATGGTGTTCCTGTGCTTGGTTTTATGAGACATCTATGTAGCTCTATGTTAATTTTTTTTGTTCTTGATGAAGCAGTAAAAACAGTTAACTTAATTAATCTCAATCCTTGAATATGCACCTTTTAATATATGACAAAATGAAAACTGCAAATAAAACATTTTTGCATCAAACTGAAGTATGATAGAGTCTAAAGAGAAGCTGTAGTTATGCTGAAAGGGATAGTCCATAAGTAAATGTCCTATTATTTGCAACCAACAAAGTCCTTCAAAATCAAAACAACAGGTTATGCTATCCTTAATTAATCTTGACTCTGATCTTCAAACTAACTTTGAGGTAGCTGCAAAGCACCAAAAAAGACATAAGTGATCTCTTTCTCTCAAACTGCTGATTTATATACCTTCCCTAGGGGCAGGGAGACAGTTAAATGGTAAAGGGTGCTGACTGAAAAGTCCTTGCAGACCATTTAGGTAAAGTAGGCAACAACATAAATGTAAATTTGAAAGCGATATTTGCTGCATGGAAGAGCAATAAAGCTAATGAAGCCATAATTAATTAAGAGCTGTCCATATGATGAGCATGAAGTTCATGAGTGCTGAGCTAAACAATGGGAACAGGGGAAGTCATCATAATGGGTACCTAAAATATTTTCACCCTTTCTGTTTAGAATGTTCATAAAAAGTTTAAAAATTGTCCTTATAAAGAAAAAATAATCACTAGTACTATTTCTATTTAAAATAAGTTTTTTTTTAAACATAAGAAGGCAAATGGAATCTAAGTAAACAATTCTAAATGAAAAAACAAGCAAAAAACCCCACACAAAATAAATAAAAAATATACATCCTGTCTACATTTAAAGAAATATGTTTTTTTATTGATTTCAGAAAGTAAGGGAAAGGGAGAGAGATAGAAACATCAATGTTAAGAGAGAATCATTGATCGGCTGTCTCCTGCACGCCCCCTACTGGGGATCAAGCCTGCAACCCAAGCATGTGTTCTGACTAGTAATCAAACCGTAACCTCTTGGTTTATAGGTCAACACTCAACCTCTGAACCCCACTAGCTGGGCTCCTGTCTACATTTTGCTGTTTAAGGGGTTATTCTGATAAGATCTATTTACACTTTAGAAGCACTGAAAGTCATACACCAGCTTCTTTATAAACACAAGGATTTTAAAAACTCTTATAGACAGGGAATAAATAAAAACTAACTTTCCAGCAATTTAAGATAGCCAACCAACAACAGTAGATACTTGACAAATTAAAAGAATGATTATTTCTTTTAACTAATTAAAATAAGTACATATTCTTGAAAATTGGGTTTACTTGGGAGATTAAGATAACTCACAGGTGTTCCTGGTGCTACTCGGGACACGATCACAGGCATCTTCTGATCAAATCCTCCCTTAAAAACAGAGCAAATCAAATATTAGCAAAATAGAAACATCTTTTTTTTTTAATTTTTTTATTTTATTGATTTTTTACAGAGTGGAAGGGAGAGAGAGATAGAGAGTTAGAAACATCGATGGGAGAGAAACATCGATCAGCCGCCTCCTGCACATCTCCTACTGGGGATGTGCCCGCAACCCAGGTACATGCCCTTGATCGGAATCGAACCTGGGACCTTTCAGTCCGCAGGCCGACGCTCTACCCACTGAGCCAAACCGGTTTCGGCAAAATAGAAACATCTTAATTTAAAAACTGAGTACAATAGAAATTTTAGATTACCTTTACATTGAATCCAAATCTTCCATTTTCGTCAGGTTTCATTCTGATTAGAACAAGATGATCATGTGGAATACCACCATTAGGCTTAAAAAGACAAATATAAATAACTTGTAATTTTCTTTACTTACATACACATTAAGTATGCTTTTTTGTATGTTGACATTATCTATAGTATATAAAGAATCACAATTTAAATTAAAATGTTAACTCAGAAAAGTACATTTTGAATAACAGGACTTAGGGAATGGCGTGTTACCCCAACTAGATCTATTTTCTCATGCTTTTGTGCCACCGCATGCTAGACTTTAAGTGCTGAGACAGGAGCTTTATCAATTATTATTTTTAAATTAATTCTTAGAGAGGAAGAGGGAGAAAGAGAGAAACATCAATTGGTTTTTCCACTTATTTATGCATTTATTGGTTGATTTTGTATGTGTCCTGACTGGGGATTGAACCTGCAACCCTGGTGTATCAGGACGATGCTCTAACCCACTGAGCTATCTGGCCAGGGCATACCAGTTAATTTTAATTCATTAATTGCAATATCTCTATAACCTGGCTTAAAGCTTTGCATGCAGCAAGTGCTCATAGTGTTACATGAATTCATGTTACTCCCTCTACTTTTAAAAAACAGCCTTATTGAGATATAATTCACATTCTATAGACTTTACCTAATCAAGGTGCATAATTCGATAATTTTTCTATCACAGAGTTGTACAAACATCACTACAATTTTATTTTAGAACATTTTCATCACCCCCAAAATAAATCCTGTATCCATTAGCAGTCATTCCCCAACCCTTCACCCCATTCCCTAAGTCCTATTCAACTACAAATCTATTTTCTGTCTCTATAGATGTAATTATTCTGGACATTTCACTTATTTAAAATTATATAATATACTAGAGGCCTGGTGCTCAAAAATTTGTGCACTCGGAGGGGTCCCTCAGCCTGGCCTGTGCCCTCTCGAAGTCTGGGACCCTCAGGGGATATCCACCTGCTGGCTTAGACCTGTTCCCTGGGGACTGGGCCTAAGCTGGCAGTCAGACATCCCTCTGGCAGTCCGGGAACCCTCGGGGGATGTCCACTTGCCAGTGGGGAGCAGGCCTAAGCTGCAGTCGGACATCCTTAGCACTGCTGAGGAGGTGGGAGAGGCTCCCACCACCACTGCTGTGCTGGCAGCCATCAGCCTGGCTTGTGGCTGAGCAGAGCTCCCCTTTGGGAGTGCACTGACCACCAGGGGGCAGCTCCTGTATTGAATGTCTGCCCCCTCGTGGTCAGTGTGTGTCATAGTGACCAGTCGTTCTGCTGTTAGGGTCAATTTGCATATTACCTTTTTATTATATAGAATAGAGGCCTGGTGCACGGGTGGGGGTCGACTGGTTTGCCCTGAAGGGTGTCCCGGATTAGGGTGGGGGTCACGCTGGGGTTCCTTGCCAGCCTGGGTGAGGGGCTGATGGCTGTTGTCAGGCTGGCCACTATCCCGGCGACCCAAGCTCCCAACCTCTCTCTTTTTTTTTTTTCCTGGGATTTATTTATCTTCTAAAATTGAAACTTTGTAGCCTTGAGTGGAGCCCAGGTCAGCTGGAAGCCTGGGCTCCTGGCCCCTCCTTGAGCGGAGGCCACCGCTGGCTAGAAGCAGGTATCAGGGATTTATTTATCTTCCATAATTGAAACTTTGTAGCCTTGAGCGGAGCCCAGGGCTGGCCAGGGCAGGCGGGAAGCTTGGCTTCCTCCATCGCCGGGGGCAACTCAAGCCTCCTGCTCACTCCAGCTCCGAGGCCACCGCCATCTTAGTTGGGTTAATTTGCATACTTGCGCCTGATTGGCTTGTGGGCGTGGCTTGAGCGTAGCGGGGGGATGGTTAATTTGCATGTTTCCCTTTTATTATATAGGACTAGAGGCCCGGTGCACAAAAATTTGTGCACTCGGGGGGGGGGGTGTCCCTCAGCCCGGCCTGTGCCCTCTCTCAGTCTGGGACCCCTCGGGAGATAACGACCTGCTGGCTTAGGCCTGCTCCCGGGTGGCAGAGGGCAGGCCCAATCCCTAGGTGCAGCCCCGGGTCGGGCTCAGAGCAGGGCCGATTGGGGAATTGGGGCGCCGCCCCCTGTCATGCACAGAGCAGGGCGGATCGGGAGGTTGCGATGCCACCCTCAGTCACGCTCAGGGTAGGACCGATTGGGGGGTTGGGGCACCGCCCCGTCACACTCAAGGCAGGGTCGATGGGGAGGTTGCGGCGCCACCCCCTGTCATGCACAGAGCAGAGCTGATCAGGGGGTTGGGGAGCTGCTCCCTGTCACGCACAGAGCAGGGCCCATCAGGGGGGTTGGGGCTCCGTACCCTGTCACGCACAGAGCAGGGTCAATCAGGCGGTCGGGGAAGTCCCCCTGTCACTCACAGAGTAGGGCCCATAGGGGAGTTGGGGCACCGCCCTCTGTCACATACAGAGCAGGGCGGATCAGGGGGCTGGGGCGCCGCCCTCTATCACCCACAGAGCAGGGCTGATCAGGGGGTTGGGGCCCCACCACTGTCACATTCAGGGCAGGGCTGATGGGGAGGTTATGGCTTTACCCCGTCACACACAGAGCAGGGCCCGTGGGGGGGGGGAGGGGTTGGGGCACCGTACCCTGTCACACACAGAGCAGGGCCAATCAGGGGGTTGGGGCGCTGCATGCTGTCACACACAGAGCTGCAGGGCAATCAGGGGGTTGGGGCGCCTTCCCCTGTCATGAACAGAGCAGGGCGGATAGGGAGGTTGTGGCCCCGCCCCCTGTAACACACAGAGCCGCAGGGCGATCAGGGGGTTTGGGCGCTGACCCCTGTCAGGCACAGAGCAGGGCCGATCAGGGGGCTGGGGTGCCGCCTTCTGTCACACACAGAGCAGGGCCCGTGGGGGGGGGGGGCGTTGGGGCACCGCACCATGTCACACACACAGAGCCGCAGGGCGATCAGGGGGTTGGGGAGCTCCCCTCTATCAGGCACAGAGCAGGGCTGATCAGGGGGTTGGGGGGCCGCACCCTGTCACACACAGAGCCACACGGCGTTGGGGAGCTCCCCTCTATCAGGCACAGAGCAGGGCTGATCAGGGGGTTGGGGCGCCTTTCCTTGTCACGAACAGAGCAGAGTGGATAGGGAGGTTGTGGCCCCGCCCCCTGTCACACACAGAGCCGCAGGGCAATCGGGGGTTTGGGCGCTGCCCCCTGTCACGCTGATCCTGGTGTCGGGAGGCCTCGCGGCTCCGCTGATCCTGGTGCTGGGAGGCATATTACCCTTTTACTATATAGGATAGAGGTCTGGTGCATGGGTGGGGGCTGGCTGCTTTGCCCTGAAGGGTGTCCTGGATCAGGGTGGGGGTCCCCACTGGGGTGCCTGGCCAGCCTGGATGAGGGGATGATGGCTGTTTGCAGCTGGTCACACCTCCTTCAGGGTGGGGTCCCCACTGGGGTGCATGGCCAGTCTGGGTGAGGGGCTGAGTGCTGTTTTCAGGCTGGCGGGTAACTGAAGCTCCCAACTGCTCCTTTTTTTCTTTTCTTTTTTATTCTGGGCCAGCTTTAGCTCTGGCTCCAGCTCTGAGGCCTCTGCTGCTGAAAGCAGGTATCTGGTTTGTTTGTGTTCTATAATCAAAACACTGTATCAACTCCAGCTCTGAGATCCCGGTTCGCTGAAAGCAGGTTTCTGGGGTTTTGTTTAGCTTCTATATTTGTAACTATGTTTCAAACTGCAAGCTCAGAGGCCAGCAAGGCAGGCAGGGGAACGTTGGTTTCCTCCGTCACTGAAGCAAGCAAGCCTCATGTTAGTTTCAAGCTGCCTGGCTGCCGGCCGCCATCGTGGCTGGCAGTTAATTTGCATATCGCCCTGATTAGCCAATGGGATGGGTAGCGGACGTACGCTAATTACCATGTTTCTCTTTTATTAGATAGGATGGTTATTTGTTACTGGCTTCTTTCACTTACCATGTTTTATGCCTGCTCTTTGAGGGTAAGTATCTGGCTAATTCTTACTTATCCTTCAAGTCACAGTTCAGAGATGATCACTTCTGGGAAGTCTTTCCTTAACCCCACAGCTGCATTAGTTATTTATATATACTTGTAAATTCTCTATAATCACTTCTAATTATAAACTTTATATTGCCTTCAAATTGTCTTCCTACTTGCTTGCTCTAGATCCCATCCTCTCTTCTATACTCAAGAATATTGCTATAGCAATTCTTTACCCTCCTGCCTTATCCATTTCCCTCATCCTCTTGGAAATACTCTTATTTCTCCCATTAAAACAACAACAACTCCTCTCCTCTGGACTCCACTTCCCCATCTAGCTACTGCCTTTTCTTTCCTTCCTCTTACTGCTAAACTTTTGTTTTGTTGTTGTTGATTACCACCCACCCACCCACCCTCCCCCACCTTCTCTCTGAGATTCCCCACTCTGTTCCATGTCTCTGGGTCCATTCTGTTCATCAGTTTATTTTGTTACTTAGATTCCACATCTGAGTGCGATCATGTGATACTTGTCTTTCTCTAAACTTCTTGAAAGAGTGTTCCCATTTGCTGTCCTTCTCACTCCATCCTAGAGTCTGGTTTTCACCCCTAGCACTTCACTAAAACTGTTCCCATTACGGTCACCAGAGGTTTTCACATTGTTCCAGTGTTCAATTCTCAGTCCTCATCTTACTTGACTTACCAGTAGCATTTGACAATGTTGATTATTCTCTCTATGACTTTATTCCCACCAGTCAGTTGACTACCTTTCTATCTGCGTCTCCTCAGTCTCAGTTGCTGGTTGTTGTTTTTTCTTATCTCCCTACTGTTTAGAATTTAGAGGGCCAAAGCTCAATTTCTAGAATCTCTTATTTAGAAATCTATACACAACACACCTCCTTGGTGATTTCTTCCTACCTCATGGTTTAACATATTGTCTATATACCATCAGTTTTCAATGTCACAACTCTAGCTTGAACCTCTCCCTTCAAATCCAGAATCCCATCTCCAAATGGATTTCTAATAGACATCTCAAACTTAGCATGTCCAAAACTGAGCTCCTGATATTCCACCCATACCTGCTCTACTTGTAGTCTTTCAGACCTTAGTAAATGGAAACTTCACCTTTCTAGTTGTTCAGGGCAAAAACCTTGCTTCTATCCTTCATCTCTCTTTCTCTAGTACACCCCATCTAATCCATCAGCATATTATGTTAGTTTTACTCTAAAAATATATCCAGAATAAAGTCATGTCTTATTCCTTCTGTGGCTACCATTACTTGCTTGGAATACTTCAATATGTTATAACAACTATCTCTACTACCCTGCTCTCAGGCTATTTTCAATAGAACAGCTAGAGCGAAACAGGTCACATTACGCTACTTCTCTCCTCAGATCTGTATGTGCATTTGCTTCCTACCTCACTCAGGGTTTAAAACAAAGTCTTTATAAGACAAGGCTTTCAGGATCTGACCCTGTCCTGTACCCATTTCCTCCTCATTTGCTGACTTTGCTCTAGCCACACTGACTTCCTTGATTGTATCAGTCATATCCCTGCCTTTGTACTTACCATTCCCTCAACTTATCTACATGGCTTATCACTAAGTTCATTCCTGGCTATATTATCTAAAATTGTAACACTCTTGAAATTCCCTAGGCCTCTGGCTTTATGTTTCGCCCTAGCATTTATACTATCTAATATGCTATAGTCTTAAATTACGTGCCTTGTTTACTATTTGTCTCACCCTAATCCCCAGAATGTAAGTTTCTTGAAGGCAAGGTGGTTTTTTTTTTTAATTCCATAAAATCCTCAAAACCACAACAATGCATGGCATACAGCAGCTACTCAATAAAGAAATGAATGAAAAAACTAACTACACTGTAGACTGTTTAATAGCAGGGACCACGTCTTACTTGTCTCTGTATTCCTACTACCTACCGAAGTACCTTAGCACACAGAAAGATCTCAATAACTATGAACCAATGAATGAATAAATGATACAAAAGACTCACCACAGAGGTAACACTAAAGTTGCCATTTTTGGTAAGGATTCTTCTTTCTTTTTGATGTGTCTATGGTGGTGGGACAATAATAAGTGTGGGAGACGAGAGTGAGTGAGTGCCTCTTGCCTTTCAACTTGAGATAACGTGGGAGGGCCATAGGTGGAAAAACGAGAGGGCCATGTGTTCAATGGCTACCAGAAATTTCTGGCAGTGCCAAACCTGCTGTGGACCCTTTTCTCCCTGCATCTTATTTTATTTCCTGATGTCCCTATTAAGTTTCCTGAAATATACCCATACTTTGTCTGTCCTTATCCATCTCATGAACACTGTGTATCCTTAAAATTTATTGATAATCTCACTTTTGCTTTAATCTCACATCTATCTACAAAAGCAATAAAAATTTGTAAATCGGGATTTTAACAATTTATCATTTGTTGTGGTAAAAACATGTTCTCTAAGGCAAAAGTACCAACATAATCCATATATATAGTCAAAAGGTTGATGAAAATGATAGTCTCTGCACTCAGTGAATTATAATCAAGTTAATGATATTTAATGGACTATTAGCATTTGTTCTAGAAATGTGTTTTACAAGACTAAAATCAACATATATTTATTAAAAATTAATGTCTAGAGCAGGGGTAGGCAAACTTTTTGACTCGAGGGCCACAATGGGTTCTTAAACTGGACCGGAGGGCCGGAACAAAAGCATGGATGGAGTGTTTGTGTGAACTAATATAAATTCAAAGTAAACATCATTACATGAAAGGGTATGGTCTTTTTTTTTTTTTTTAGTTTTATTCATTTCAAATGGGCCGTAGTTTGCCCACGGCTGGTCTAGAGTAATGAGCATTTTATAAATGATGATAAAAGGAAATTCCAGTTAGGTTATATCATGTCATAATTTATGAGCAAACATATGATAAAAAAGAGAAAATGCTACAAAACATGCCACTGTACAAAAATAACTTCATTTATAATTTTAAAATTTCAAAGAAATATGAGAATATTTGAAGCTACTTACAGTAGATTTTTCAGGGGAAGATGGAACATCAAATGCCTCGTTAATATGGTTTTCCAGATCTTGTTGCGAATGTGAATAATACATCTGGTTCCAGCTGTTTTTCTTCGATTGTTTGGGCGGTAAAGCTGGAGGCTGCCCATCCCCAGGGGTCTCTTGTGATCTAGATAGGAAAACGGAAAAGAATGAATTGTTACTAAAAGCTAGAGTCAAGCAACTCAGATATTTACAATGTCTAGTAAGAGACAAGCTTTAGCCCTGACCGGTTTGGCTCAGTGGATAGAGCATCGGCCTGCAGACTCTAAGGTCCCAGGTTCGATTCCAGTCAAGGGCATGTACTTTGGTTGTGGGCACATCCCCAGTAGGGGGTGTGCAGGAGGCAGCTGATCGATGTTTCTCTCTCTTTATCTTTATCCCTTTCCCTTCCTCTCTGTAAAAAATCAATAAAATATATTTAAAAAAACAACACAAGCTTTAAATACCATATTGATTTGCAAATGCCACTGTTTAATGAAATACTTTTATGGTTGAAGTTTAAATAGCATATTTAATTTCCTACTTCATCAAATCTGTAATCAATACTACATATAATAAAATCTATGTCAAGGGTATCCACGTGAAGATGTTTATTAATCTACTCTAACAATGTATATACCTTTCCAAAAATCTTTTTAAAAAAGTTTTCAGTGCAGTCATACGAATAGCCAGGGAACAAGGCAGGCAAAGAGAAATAAGAACTGAGAGGTGAGCCATTCCACAGGTAAAACAACTGGTCGTCTAGAGAAGTTAAGTGGCCCAATTTATTTAGAAATAAAACACAATTAATGAAAGTAATGAACTCAATGCTGCAACCAGGATTAGAATCTGATTAAAAATGCTGAGATCACCAAAAAGACAAAACTGAATGAGACCTTGTTAGAGTATATAACTTAAGGGGAAGAAGCGAAAATCCAATTAACAGTAGAGAACATAAGCCACAGTCTGTAACAGGAGGTACTGATAAAAAAAAAAAGCTAGGTATAATAGGGGAAGTGTCAAGGTAAAAAATTGTAGCTTTTGAGAATAGAGAACAGATGATGGTTGCCAGAGATGAGAGGGGCTTGGGTACTGGGTGAAAAAGGTGAAGGGAATAGAAAGTACAAATTGGTAGTTACAAAATAGTCAAGGGAATGTAAAGTACAGCAAAGGGAATATAGTCAATAATATTGTAATAACTATATATTGTGCCAGGTGGGTACTGAAAATATTAGGGGAAACACTTTGTAAAATATGTGATTTGTCTAACTACAATGCTGTATACCTGGAACTAATTCAAATAATATTGAATGTAAACTGTAATTGAGACACAAAATAATAAAAGTGCAAGTACAGCGTATGTTAACATTACTTGTGAATTTCTCACAAAGACCAGAAGGGGGAGCCAGTGGTTCAACTTGTATGCTAGAAGGCATGCATCCAGGAAGCTGTGGAGTTGAGGAGACCAGGCAAGGGAAAAATGGTCCTTGATAAGAGCACTGACCATCGCTGGGCTTATTATTTATCTCTGAGATGGCAGGAGGTCCTTTGGGGAGAATAAAATAATTACCGTCCATTGCTTAAGGACAGATAAGAAGTTAATAGCTGCTGTAATACTCAGGCACGTATTTTACTCAGTTTCTGTTTATTTTTGTTGACTAACAACATATGCCTAAGATACAAGTTATAAGGCCTTGAGGAAGTAGAACTGTATTCGATTATATTGCTGTTCAAAAATCATTCTTCACCCTTCCCATTTGACATTAAGCTTGGCTGTATGACCTGCTCTGGCCAATAAAATATGAATAGAAGTGGTATGCTTCTCCTTTTGAAAGGGAGCTTTAAGAAACGGTTCTGGACTCATTATGCTTCTCTTTTTCTTCAGCCATGATCAGCTACGTCCCAAACAGGGGCTGGAGTCAGTCTGGGTCCTGGAATAAAAAAGACATGGGTCGAGGCATAGTCGATCCATGATGTACATATGGTACAAGAAAAAAATAATCTGTGTTGCCAGTCACTGTAAGCGGGGTAATTTGCTACAGCACGACATACTTTAGCTCAATAACTAATACACAGATTACTGCCGCAGTGGCCCTGAGATACATATGCTCTCCCTTGGTAGAGAAGCTGTGAACTTAGAGGCTCCCTGCTAAATACCTGGTGACTATTGGTAGGGAACTAAAAATCTGATTAGTGCCAAGGAAGTCAGAGGGATTAATAATGAATGGTGTAACTTTATGTCCTCCAGGGAGGGTTCCCTAATGAGAATTATACTCCTTCTGAAATTGAATAAGCCACTGTAAAATATAATAATTAAGTAGGTAAACAAGAATGCCCACTCAGTCTAACTTTCTACATAGAAGTCTGCAGAGCATAAGATGCTCTCAATTCTGATAAACCTATAATACTGCATCAGAGAATATACCTCTCCTTTTTAGCAAAAGCTTCTTTGAGGTCTATCTTGATGGCCAGGGATTCCAGGTACTAAACATACTAGTTTTTATTCTATTAGTTTCAACTGCTAAGAAACCATGCCTCTAAGGTTCAATACAATCTAATGCTGTGAATCCAAAAAAAATGTTCCCACAGATTAGAATACAGACATGAATGCCGTGCTACAAGGGATTAAGAAAGATGAAGATGGACATCTCTTGGCGGAGCCTCACAGATGTGACATTTCTAAAAAGCAGTTGATTAAAAGCCTCCAAGACTTAAAAAAAAAAAAAAAAAACCCAGAAGTTCCTGGATTCCACATATTTCGATCGGTAGGTCTCATTATTCCTTACTTAGGCAAGGTGAAGAGAAACTTTTCCTAATTTTGTATTCAGCTGTCATACTCAAGAAGCATTTAGCTTCAAACTAAAAGTCTGTAGGGAAGAGTGTAAGGGCCGAGATCAGATAGGAATGGAGTCAGAGCGACTTTCTTTATCCTTTGTCCACTAATAGTCTAAACATAGTGCCAAAATATGCTACAAACTGATGCCCGATCTGTAGTGTAACCGCTCAGTGAGCCAAACCTGGTGCGTCTGGGCATAACAATGGCGATGCTCAGTTACAAGAGAGGGACAGCACTGGCATTACAGGACATTTTGCTAAAACCACTGAATCTGCATTTCTGGGGTAAGGTAAGGCAAATATGGCAAAAAAGGCTTGAGAAGTGATTTTTATTATGTACTTCTGAATAGAAATCACTGTCTTAGGATAGTGGCCGCAAATTTGCAGATTGTGAAACAATTTTAGTCAACATACATTTGGCTCATTCACTGCTTTTGTAAAATGTGAGTTAATTGACATTAAAAATTACATGCAAATATGGATTTCCAGAACGAAAAGTTTGGAAGTTCTGGGAAGAATGGACCTAAATTATAGGTTGTCAACCACTGGACAAAGCCAAGGGGTAGCTGCTGCCTTTAAATGGGTCATGGGCATTCAAGACCACATAAATCTCACCCTGTGTTACTTGCCAGACTCCAGTGGGTATTTGAGTATAACTCTCCTTTAAACATTCCTAGCTGCAGGAAGGCAACAATAGGAAGAGAACACAAGCATACAGGTTTAGGTTGGCATTTAAGCCAAATTCTGAAGAAAAGGTGAAGAGAATGGAGTGTAGACAGAGCATCAGCCAAGGTGTAACAGAGGAAAGAACATAATTTTGGGTTTCAGAACATGGGCTATCTACCTTCCTTTATGGTTTTGTGTAACTTTCTTTTTAAAATAACTTCTCAGAGGATGGTAGACAGGTTCTTGACATGCATGGTTGCTATTAGGGCTAGGAAGCTTGGGGAAGCTTCTACAAACTATTTGCTCTCCCAGTAACTGCTTTCCCTTTCTACGTTTCCACTTCAATAACCAAACTATCTCTCTACCTACATACCTGTTTACCTACATACCTATTTACTTACCTACCTAAAATACAGTCTCTAAAAGTAATTAAGGATGCCAACATAGACTACTGAAATTCGTATTTTGGACAAAGGTTACCAATTATATTTTAAAGACATACTCCAAAAGTATTAACTCAATTTATGATAACTTCCTTCTACATATCTAATGTACAGGTGTCATATACTCACTCAGTTATATACAAAGATGACTTTCATAGGTAAACCATGCATTATAAATATAAATTATAATATGTTTAAATACTGTCATGAAACAGGCCAGTTCTAAAAAAATATATACCATTTCTAGGCCAAAAGAATCCACACCCCAAAATCAAAAGCAAAACCAAACAAAAAAAACCCTGCTAAGTATAACAGAATGAACAGACATCATATACATGGTAAAAACATCCAAGCAGCATAGTGAAAGATAGCCTCACTAGAAACAACAGCTGGCACCCTGAAAGAAGGGACCTGTAACTTAACAAGAAGGCCAGCATTCACTATCAGGTGTCTTGGACAGGACTAGGGAAATAGAAACCAAAGAGAAAGGTTGGGATCAGAGGTGTGGCTGGAGTCTTACAAGTAGAGATAATTATTTGGCTTTAAAGTGAGAGTTGGAAAAGATCTACTAGGAAGAATATAGAAAAAAAATGATACTTATAGAAAGAAAAATTACAAGATAAACACTAAAAATTGTGAATTAAAAATATGCTAAAGGTTTAACTGTACATACATACCTTTCATAGAAGCATAAAGTTTATTCTAATTTAAGATTAGAAAACAAACAAAAACCAGATTCTTGGTAGACACTAATATAAACTTACCAGGAATAACAGCTCCCTTTAAAACTCTTATTTTCTAGGGTACATACCAGGAGCTCATATCCTATTCAACTATAATCACCAGTGTCACCCCAGTCTTCACTGGGCCTTTAACCCTACTATAAATAAAATACAGATAAAATTCTGGTTCAAAATTCAGACTTTCTCAATACTGGCTAATTTATAGTGACATTCAGAGTATTTCAAAGTAAACACCATTCAGACTGATTGCTAATGAGGTCCCAGAACTGAGATTCAGGGGTTCAACCAAATTCCAAGTCCCTGACCTTAGCTGCCAAATGCCAGTAGTGGAGACTTGCCAGAGATGGAGGGCAGGTAAGTATACTGCGACCTGCAATTAGTCTTGTCATAAGTACAACATCTAAGATAGTGCATCTTCTAAGTCCCTAGGGCTTGATACCTCCTTCCATCCACACCCTCTT